CTCCCGCCTCCACCTCTGGGGAGAGGTGCACAAGGAGGGGTCTGTTCCTCTGGATTCCCCACCCACCCAGTCCGAACCTGCTTCGCCCTAACCCCCTCCTCCGCCACAGCTGGGGCTGCTGTCCTGGTCCCCGGCGCGGCCCACCAGCTTCATACCCTCCCTGGCACCTACCCTGTCACCCACTCAGGAGGCACTCAGCCCCATCTTCAACTTGGAATGGGATGGGGTTTCATCCTCTGTTGCTGAAGCCCCCTGAGCTTCATGACCCACCCAGCGTGGCACGAGGGCCCTGAGCTCCTGCCTCAGCTTCACCCCAGAGTGGCGATGCCATGACTAGGCTATGAGTGTGGGCTAGCGTGACTGCAGCCCAGGCCTGCCGCCACACCACCCAGTCCCACAGGTGCCAGGCCGGCTGGGCAGATTCCCCAACTCTGCCAGGCTGAGTCCTGGCCCACTTCTTCACTCTGGGCCAGGCTACGAGGCACTCTCAGCCCACCTGATGCCACCCAAAGGGACGGGCGCCTATGTGCCAGCAGATAGCACTGACCTCAGGGTATCTATGACTCTGGAAACCTCATGGTGTGGCCTCCACAGAGCCCCAAGCCTTGAACCCTGCTGAGACTGGAAAACGGAGCCTTGTTTTCCCCAACCCCTCTACCCCTGGCTTCCCGTCCGTCCTGAGAGGCTGGGTCAGGGACCGACCACCTCTGCCCTCACAGCAGGGTCCAGAACCGAGCTTGACGTCCCGCTGATCAGCGCATCACCTCCCTGGGCTGGGTGCCCTACCTCTTGTGATGTGCTCCGAGGTCAGCCCTGTGTCAGCAGCACCCTCGTCCTGCTCCGTAGCCGTTGCCCCATCTGCTGCGACCAGCCTGGGTTGGAGGTTAGGGTCCTGCCCTGCTCGAGGGTGGTCCTGTCTGCGGCCCCCCGGCATGGCTGGGACTCTGCTTGCCCCATGCTTGGTCTTTCTTCCTCCCTCCTCCTGCTCTGCCTGCTGTGCACGTGGCTCTTCCTGTCCTCCTCGGTGTCACTGGCCACAACGCTGCTGGACCCATGCCACGGGCAAGGTGACCCAGGGGACCTTTCTGGAGCCCTCGCCAGCACTGCATGATCAGCGTCCCCCGCCGCAGCTCTCACCCTCACACGCACCTACATGCCTGCTTGGTGCCCGCCTCCCGCAGGAGGGGACCACGGAACCCTGACACCCACGGGCGTCACCGACAGCCTTGCTGTGCCTCCTGCCTTCGCTGGACAGCCCTCGGGAGCACTGAGGCTCCCGGACCAGCTGGGACTGCCTGGCAGAGCTCTTGCCGTGCTCACGAGGCAGGCTTTTGGCACGTTCCAGGACACGCGACCAGTCCCTGGCACCAGCTCGGGGCTCTGCCATCCTCATTCCTTCCCAGCTAGTCGTACTCAGATATACCTCACATCCCTGAAGGCTCTGCCCATTCTCCACGTAACCGGAGGTTTCATACCTTAGATGTGGCGCCCACCTGGGCAGGAGGTGCAGCCGGCACCTGGAGGGAACAGCCAAGCCAGCCTGGCATTCGACCGCCTGTCCTGCCCCGGCAGCACCGGGATCTTCCTGCTGTAGCACCCAGCAGCCAGGCCCTCTGCCTGCCCCCGCCATGCCACGTCTGCCTGCGGAGCTCCGGGGTGCCCGTCTTGGCCCCCGGCCCCTCCCCAAAGCTCTCTTGGCTGATCAGCCCCTCCCAGGCTCATCATTCCTGGGGGTGCAGGGGAGACATCACAGAGCAGAAAAGAGTCTGCCCCTGGGTTGGCTTACTTCTGCAGGAGACTCCCTGGTGTGTGTCCACTGGTGCTGCGGACAACCCCTGCCAGCCCCCAGATGGGGGTAAGCTTTGGAGCCTCCCTGAGCCTCCGCTTTCCTATCTGCCAAACGGGGTCTGAAGGACCAGCTTCAGTGGACCGTGTGAGACTCCCGTGCCCTTGGGATGTCCTGGTGGCTGAGGTCAAGGGGACCTGCCCCGGTCCTCTGTTCCTAAGGTGCAGACATCCCCATTTAAAGAGGCGCAGTGAGCACCGTGCAGCCAGTACCTCCGTCCTCGAGACATCTCCAGAAAGCCGTCCCCTCATCCCCATTACCAACGCAGAGACGGAGGCTCAGGGCTGCACCTCGCGCAGGAGCCCCAGAGAGCCGGTGACGTGGCTGGGACTCCAACCCCTCCACCTCCAAGAACTGGGTGTGGGGAGGACCAGGCAGGGACAGAGGCCGTAAGAGGTGATGCCCTGAGTGTGCATGGAAGGCAGGGTCCTGACCCAGTGCGTCCCAGTCCTGGGCAGAAATCCTGCCCTCAGTCCCCGGGAAAGCCAGCCCCCGTCCTGTGTTGGGTGCTCTGATTTCCTCATTCGTCCTCTCCTTGGCAAGCTCGCCAACCTTGGCCTGGCCTCACTGCGCCCCTCTGGCATCCATGGCTCACTTTTTGATCTTCCCCCCACTGCCCGTCTTTGGAGTACCCAGGAGTTGTGTGAGCCCACCTCTCTGCAGCCTTTTGCCCTGGGCACCTGCCAGGTGGGGGCCATGTAGGAGGGACCCCTCCTCTCATGCCTGGGGTTGGCAGCATGGAACAGTGCCCGGGACCCCCACCGGCTTCCATTCCTGCCTCAGCCCACCCTCTGCCCTCCCCTCCTGCCACCGCCCCACGCCCCCTTCGGCTCCCGTCTCTCCTCCCTCAAGGCAGCCCCTGCTCTCGTCCTCCCTCTCTGTGTGTTTCCCTCCGTTTCTCTCGTTTCTTTTCTCTGTTTGTTTCTCCACAGTTTGGACTTGTTCTCGTCTCGAGAACCTCACAGTCCTGGGCACAGGGTCACCCCCTCCCAGCATCCCTGGCCAGGCCTGGCCCCTGATCTCACCTCCACAAGCACCACCTCAGCAGCAGCGAGGCCTCTGCAGCCTGCCACGGGCAGCACCGACCCTCATGGCCACGCTCCCTCATGGCCACCCAAGGGCTTCTCTCCCACAAGCTCTCACCTGCAGCGGCTCCTGCCTGCCCTCCAGAGACCTCTGTGGTCAAGCCCAGGCCACCAACCTCTGCCGAGCCACTCTGAGCAGGATGCTCAGTCCCCGGGGCCATGCTCCCTCCGGCCTCAGGGTGCCCCCTCTTACGGCTCTGGTAGGGGCATGGGGGGGGCAGTGCCCAGGGCACCCTGGCTGCTGCTTGCTGGTCGCTCTGCCCAGCTCTGGTTCGCCGGCTGGGACTGAAGCCTGAACCGCAGTCCTCTGGGCTCCGGCCCTGACACCCTGCCCAGGGGGCTGGGCCACTCGGTCCCTGTACCCCTGCTGCTGGCTCGTTCGGGCTTTTGGGCAGGACGGGCTCTGTCCGAGACCGACTCCCAGCCCTGCCAGGGCGGGGGCGACCCCACCCTCAGGATCTCGGGTCTGGATGGGCCCAAGGCAGCCACACCCCTTTGGACACTGTGGTTGGAGGCCTGGCTTCCCCCAGCCCCCTCAGGGCCAGCCCAGCAGGCTGCCAGCCCGTCCCTGCCCCACTGGCCACATCACGGGCCCCAGAGGTCCCCGGACCAGGCTGCTCAGGGAGCGTCCCTGCCTGAAGGCCCTTAGAGCCCTGGGGAGAGCCAAGCACGGGGTGGCTGCCACATCTGCGGGCAGATGTGTGCCTGAGATGGAGGGAAGGGAGGAACTCACATCACCCAAAGAGCCTTGGCGGGGGTCGGCATGGAGCTCCGGGGACCTCAGTGTTCGATACGGAAGCCTGCCAGGCTGAGCCCTTGCCCACCTCTTCACCCCACGCCAGGCTACAAGGCACTCTCAGCCCACCTGGTGCCCTCTCCCAAAGCCAGGAAGGACCAGGCTGGTGGATGAGTCCAGGCGACCTCTGGAGTTGAGTGGGCCGAGGTCCCCTGACCGTCCCTAACACTGGCCTGGCCCAAGCTGGCCCTGGGAGAGACCCGAGTTGCCTGGGCAGACAGGAGGTGCAGGAGAGACTACCAGTTGTCAGGAAGGGCAGACTTGGCAGTGGTGGGAGGAGGTCAGCCCAGGGCCTGACCCTGCCAGCCGGAAGCCGCATGCTGGCAGGAGCTGGGGACAGCCAGGCCTGGAGAAAATGGTGTTGCGGAGCTCCATGCAGAGCCCGTGGGCTCACACCCAGGTGTAGACAAGGAGAATCGCCAGGGCAGGGGCAGGGGAGAACGGGGCAGGAAAGGATGGGGAGGGGGAGGAGGGGGAGGGGGAGGACGGGGAGGGGGAGGACGGGGCAGGAGAGGACGGGGCAGGCGGCGCATGGTTTCCCGCTGGCCTGGAGCACCGATTTTAATGAAGGTAAACTGCATTTAACTTACACCCTGGTGCTGCTGGCACCCAGCATGGCCCTCCAGGGCTTGCCACTGAGGACAGAGCACCCTGTGTGCGCTGCCTCTCCCTGCCTGCACCCAGCATGGCGAGACAACCAGGGGGTCCCCAGGGAGGGGATGTGGCGGAGCAGGTGGAGGAGGGAGCCTTGGGCAAGTTTCTTCATCCAATCAGCCCCCCTGAGCCGGGCTCACTCTTTATTCAACAGCGAGCGGGTAAGGGGCTGCCTGCCAGGCCTGGAGGGCTGGGCTGGGGGCAGCTGGAGCTGTTGGATGTTGCAGAGCAGTGATCTGTGGCAGTGCTGGCGAGCGCAGTACCATCCCGGGTGGCAGCGTGTGTGTGCGTGTACATATGTGGCTGTGGTGGGTGGCTGGGGCGCAGTGGCTTCTGGGCGCGGGTCCTGGAGGGGTGCGTGTCGGTGCCTGGTTGCATGCCGCTCACCATGGTTGCTCCCCATAGCTGGACAAGGGACTCTCACTGTTTCCTGCCCAGCCCCCGGCAGGGTGAGTTCCCAGGGAACTCAAAGGGACGGGTCCTATGCCACCAACCCACTGGCCGACCACCGCTGGCCTTAGTGAGGCCCCCTCCAGGCTGCCTCCTGCCCAGGTCCACAGGGACTGGCCCTGAGCCTGAGCCCACGTGGCACCAGTGCCCCCAAGTGCTGCTCGCTCACCTGGGGCTGCAGCGGGCGCTGGGCCCGGCTGGAGGGATGCTCATGGCCGAGCACCGAGTGACAAGGGGGTGAGCCCCCACACAGCCAGGCCAGGGCTCTGCCGATCCCCCGGGTGTTGCACTGCTTTCTCTTGGGCCTCAGTTTCCCCATTTGTTAAGTGGCATTGGTGAGCCTGGGGGCTGGACCCCAGGCACTTCTCAAATCCCAGGCCATGGAGCTCCTGGGGGACAGCAGGAGGACACATTCCTGCTGGGCAGGGAAGGGAGGTCTGACCTGGGCAGGCCCCAGCAGAGCCTGGACGCCAGCAGGACGAGGCTCACGGGGCCCAGAGGTAAGGGGAGGCAGGAAGGGGGCGTGCTCAGCCAGGCTCCCTGCAGATCCTGGTGCTGGTCCTGACCTGGGGTGGCAACCAGAGACCCTGCCAGGTGGAGACGAGATCAGAGCCATCTCTCTGCATCTGCAGGGACCCAACAAGTGGGAGCTGGGGAGAGGGGTGAGCCAGGCTGCCTTTAGCTCCTCAGACCTTGCAGATCCCGCCCCTGTGGGCGTCCCTGGCTCTCCACCCTCCCAAAGTCTCAGCACGGAGTGCCTGGCCTGGGTGGGTGGTGGCAAGCTGACTGATGCCAGCCCTGCCGCCCAGGATCTCGAGGTCCGGCCTGCGTGCTCCATGCCATCAGAGGTGTTCGGAGCAGGACAGCCTCCCAGCTTCATGGAGGAGGTGGCTATTCAACTCTGCTTAAAAGCCTGGAGGGGTTGAGGAGGAGGAAGGGCACTACAGGCAACTCAGAGCGGCTGATGGCGCAGAGGGATAGCTCTGAGACTGCCCAGGCTGGGCCCTCAGAACTCTGCTCTCCTACCCGACTGCACGGGGTGCCACGCCACTACTTTACAGAGGAGGAAACAGGCTGGAAAAGGGCGACATGCTGGCCCAACGCCTGAAGGCAGATGAGCCCCGGCACCCTCCCTGGCCCTGAGGAGTCCCCCGCCTAGGGTTGGTGTGCTGCGCCAGGGCAGGTGAGCTCAGCCCAAGTCCCATTTCTTGCTCTGTGAAGTGAAGGTGACAGAAGGGTGCCCAGGGTCCAGTGGATCCCATGGGAGGCCCCAGAAGCCACGGCAAGGATGGGCCCTTCATCCTGGGGGCTCAGAGCCTGTCAGAAGCCCCGGGAAAAGGTGTGAGTAGAACCACAGCGTGGGCAGTGCTGGTGGGCTGGGGGAGGAGGAGGCGGGGCAGCTGCCAGGGGCTGGAGGAGGAGAAGCCTCAAGCAGTCTCTGCCCTCACATGCACCCACGGCCCGCCTGGCACCCTCTCCCTGCCCACCGCAGCTGGGGGGAGGCCCAGTGGCCCCGTTCCCCGGGGCCTGGCCTGGTGCATGTGGCCAGCCGCCCAGAGAGGGCACCCTGCCCTGCCCTCCATGCCCGGCCGGGGCAGGAGGGACCTACCTCAAGAGAGTATCCAGGCCCTGTCTGCTAGGGTTCCTCCTCAGAAGCTTGGGACTGCTCAAGCGGCAGCCTCTGCCGGCTGGCGGTGACCTGGCCTGACCCCAGCCCCAGGACACAGCCGCATCTTCCGAGGCTCCTGCCCTGCTGGCCCTCCTCCCATGCCGCTGCCCCCTGTGCTCATCTCTCCCTGGCGCTCCGGCCCCTCTCTGCCCCTCTCGTTCCTGTACCTCCCTGGCGCTCCGCCCTGGTCCTTGTGTCTTGCTGTCTCTCACCCCTCCCTTGTCCCTTCTGTCTGTGGTCTGCTTGTCCCTGTGACCTCTGCCTGCCTGTCTTGGCCCCTCCAGCTCCTGGCACTGGGGTCTGGGGGCTGGCTCCCTGAGGGCAGCCTGGTTCCTCCCTCTGGCCCCTGGCACCAGGGTCTGCTGGCCGGCTCCCTGAGGGCAGCCTGATCCTTCCCTCCAGCCCCTGACACCGGGGTCTGTGGGCCAGCTCCCTGAGGGCAGCCTGGTCCCTGTGTCCCCATCCCTGTGGGTCTCCCTGACTGTGGGTCTCCCGCTCCCCTCTCCAACTTCAGGACACCCAGCAGCTGCTTCCCTTTTGTTCCCCCAGCCCTCTTCTCCGCCCCCCCTCCGTCTCCTCCACCTCTACCTCCTCCTCCTTCCAAGAAGAGTAAAAATGTCATACCGAAAACCCTCCCAGACCAGCAGCATGGGGGCTCAGCCGGACCTCTGTAGCCCACTGGTGGGCAGCGTGGGTGCCCCCTTCCCTCCCTCCCTTCCTCTTCCCCTTCCTCCCTCTGCCTCTCCCCTTGGGCCACCTCAGCAGCCTCTGCCTGCCTCTCGGGCTCTCCTGGCCCTCCGTGGCAGCCCTGCCCCAGGCACAGGGGCCTATTCTGCCCATCGCCGCCTCCCACCTCGGAGCGCCTTGTGCCCTCTGCCAGGCCCTGCCCAGACCTCCTCTGCTCCTCTCCTTCATCAGCCTGCCTGGTCCAGCCCCGCCTCAACCTGCTGCCTCCCTCACCATCGCCGCAGGCCTGGGCCCTTCGCTGGCTCCTCTCTCCTCTCCCCTTTTCCTCTGGTGTCTCTGTCCCTATCTCTGTCTCCCTCCCTCCTTCCCTCCCCCCTTCCTTTCCCTCTCCTCCCTTCCTCTCCCCTCCTCCCCTCTCCCCCGCTCCTGATTCTCCACTTTCCCTCTGTTCATTCCCGGCCTCTGCTCTCGTTGTCACCTCTGGAGAAAGCTGGGCACCCCAGGAACCCTCTCTGGTTCCCACATGGGGAGGCTGCCGCCTTTCCTGGTACCACCCGCCACCAGAGTGCAGAGACACCCCGAGAGGCAGAGATGCCACCAATGTGGCATCTTTGCTTTGGTATTGGGACGCCATGGTCCCAAGAGGTGTCCAGTGGGCACAAAGTCAGCCCCGTGCCCTCGCCAGCCAGGCCCCCCTTGCCCTGTCCTCTGGCCCTAGCCCAGGGAGGAGCAGCCCAGCCCTCTGTTCCTGTGGTTGGGCTTGGCCACTGTGACTCACTGGAGAACATTTGGGGCTAGTGGCCGGACGAGGGGAGGGACCAGACTCAAGTTCAGGGCTTGCTGAGGGCCAGCTCCGCCAGGGCAGTCTCACATCCGGTGGCTCACCCAGCTCACTGGCGCTCACAACCGCCACTATGCCCATGATCTGGATGGAGAAACCAAGGTCCAGCCAACAGCACTGGCATCCAAGGTCATGGAGCCAGAGCTGGGCTGCCAGCTGCCGCCACCCGATGACCGTCCCAGGCCACCATCTGTGCGTGAGCAGCCCACCTGCCTATGCCACCCTCCATCCCCACATCTTTGGGGAACAGCCCCCTCTGGCCTTCCCACCTATCATGAGTCTGGCCAGGCCAGGCAGTGGGGACTGCGCAGAACCCAGGGGACGCTGAGGGAAGCAAGGGTAAGGCAGTGAGCAGACGGGCGAGCTGGTGAATCACCGCAGAGGGCAGCTCGCCGGGGGTGGCGGCAACAGTCAGAAAACTCCACACGGGTCCATAGCTTGGGCTGTGGTGACTCAGGTGGTGGGCTAGCCCATGGAGACTGTGTGGGGGTCAGGAAGTCCATCCCCACCCCCAAGCACACACCAGGATGGGCTTCAGGGCCAGTCCTGGAGAGAGGAGCTCACAGCCTCTCCCCTCCCTCAGCACAACCCAGGAGGAGCCAGGGGAACATCAAGTGTACAACGGAGACCATAGTGTCTCCCCACATCTCCAGCACCCACACAGCTGCAGAGGTGAGGTCACCCAGGGAAGTGAGACCACTCATGGGAGGTGAGATCACCCAGGGATAGGTGAGATCACACAGAGGAAGTGAGATCACTCGGGGAGACCAGATCACCTGGTGAGGTGAGATTACTTGGTGGTTGGGGGCATTACTGCCTGTTTCCTCCTTGCCTCCTGTTTGGACTTCTGGAGGGAGTCCCAGCCACAGACAGCCAAGAATGAAATGTGGTCAAGGCATATTTTAGTTCAAAAGAAGGAAGAATATTCCCACAGGGAAAAAAGCTACCTTGGAATGGCGGGACTTCCCTGTCACTAGAGAATGATCATCTGTCAGAAATGCTGATTGGTGGGAGGTGACAAAAACAGATATTTAAATGCAGTGGCCAAGATTCAAGGTTTTACAACTAGGACATGTCCTGTGAGGGACAATAGAGCAGAGTATTTGATGTCAACTCTACTGTTATGTGTGTGCCTTCCATCCACCCACTCATCCATCCATCTCTCTGTCCATCTCTCCCTTCATCCATCAGTATATCCATCTGTTTACCCATCCACCCACCCATCTATTCATCCAACCATCCACTCATCCACTCATCCATCCATTCACCCATCCATCCACCCATCCATCTATTCATCCACCCATCTATCTGTCCATCCACCAATGCATCCATTCACCCACCCACCCATCCATTCACCCACCCATCCATCCATCCATCCATCCATCCATCCATCCATCTATCCACCTATCCACCCATCTATCCATTCATCAATCAATTCATTTACCCACCCATTCATCCATCCACCCATTCATCTATTTATCTGTCCATTTATCCATCTATCCATCCATCCATTCACACATCCATCGTTCTATATGAATGCCTGTCTTTCCATGTATCATTTATCGATTCATCAGTTTCCAACATATCTATTCATCCAATTATCTACATAAACATAATATATCCTTCCATTTATTTAATTCAAGCATCCATCCATATAATCATGTCCACCCCTCTCTATACATTTCTTCATTGAACAAGTATCCACCATCCAACCATCTGTCCGTCCATCCACCCATCCATCCTTCCAGTCATTTACCTAAATGTCTTAGTACATAGAAAACACTTAACAGATGCATTCAGTAAGCCATCCATTTAGCCATCCATCCATTTACCTAAATGTCTAAATATGTAGAAAACACTTAGAAGCATTCAGCAAGCCATTTATCCCTTTGGATACATGCTAGTTACTGTTATCTACATGCTCACTCATCAATTTGTATGTCTATTTGTCCAGCCAGCCAAACAGTGAGCTATTTGTTCTTTATTTAATGTATCTTTCTATATCCAAATGTTCTTCTTTTCTTATTTTCATTTATCCGTCCAAATATTCTATTTACTCATACCATCCATACATCTATTTACACATCTGTCTGTCTATCCATCCATATGCCCATTTATCTCCTCACCTAGCAAGTCTCACTTCCAGTTATACACACACACACGTATGTGTTTACCCTTCTGTACACATAGGTGCCCATCAGTTTGTCTATTAATAATCTAAATGAGTTAACACAACAGTTAACAGAACGTAGTCTGCCCATAACTAATGTTCCTTATTTTCCATTCATCTATTCACTCGCCCAACCAAACATCTGCCCATTAATTTCTCCATCTACCTATTTGTGTATTTGTCCATCTATCCATATATTTATCCATCCATCCAGCCATCTGTCTATCCATCTGTCCCTCCATCCTTCCATATATTCAATAAATTTACTGAATTCAGACAGTTTGAGGGTCCTGGGGATTCAGCATTAACAAAATCCCTACTCTCATGATTATCATGTTTCAGTGGGAACAAACATGTAAATAAATAAATAAAAATCAGATGATGGAAAATATGACAGAAAATATAAATCAGGGTAAAGGCATATGGAGTTCTGGAGGGGAATGATATTTTATGTGTGATAGCATCATGCAAATAAGTAATTCTTTCCTTAGGTTTTCATATACGAAAGCCTCATGGAAAGAAGGAATTCTTTTCTTATTTGAAAAGAGATGAGAGAAATGAGAGTGAGAACTACATGCACAGCGGGAGGAAGTGTTGCAGGAAGAAATTCCTGATTTAGCAGTGGCTGCTTACCCAGCTGTCTTTCTGATAGTTCACCCAGCACGGATTCAATCATCTATTGATTCATTGTCTATCCATTTACCTTCCCACTCATCTCTTGTTATATCCGCCCAGATGCCCACCTGTTCATCTATCATCCATATCCATCCATATGCCAACCTCTCTTGACATACTTCTATTAATCTTTCCAATAATTCACACGTCCATATTCCACCCATCCGTACTTCCATCCCATCTGTCCTTCCACCGATACATGCATTCACCCATTCATCAATCATCCGTTCATCCAGATATCCACTCATCTTTTGTGTTGGTACACCTGCTCATTTATCTGTTGGGCTGATGATCAGCCAATATACACAGATACAACATAGTTGAATATACAAATATAATCAGCATCCATTCTGATAGATTAATATTTGTACCACATGAGTTGTTAAATATTCTAGATATCACATCTGCATTTATCCATCCACCCATTCATTTGTCCTTTCATCCACCCATGCATATGTTCCTCTGTCTATCCTTCTATTTTTGTTCATCTATTCATCAATTACTAAATAATTCTTTCTTTTTATTTATACATGAGTCCATC